ATATATATATATATATATATATATATATATATATATAGATGGATCGATTGATAGATAATGTATATGTATATTATTCTCTACTGCAGATACATACACTTATATAAATAATACTGTGTCTCTAGGCCCTGTGCTGCAAACAGGACTGGTGATGGGAATTGCCTTTGCTGCATTTGTGATTGGTGTCAGTATGATGGGGGCGTTGTGGTGCATCTATAATTACACAGGTAATGAGATAAACTGATCACACATGCACGATACATCTTCTCCTGTCAATATATAAGAAAAATAGATACTGCACAGAATACAATGTATTGAGAGATGTAAAGCTTCTATATGTGAATGTGTAATATTACACTGGGCACAGTGGAGGGATTCTGGTTTAGTGTTGAATCTAGGCTATTTGAAGAGAGTGTAAATGTAGAAAAGATCACAGGCACCAAGTGACACACAGGATAAAGGACGTTTTTAGTTTGCAGGCAGAGAAATTAAACTGATTCTCTTGCTTACGCTGTTTTGGTTTGGAAGTACCATCCAATACACAGACAAATTGTAGAAATGCTAATAAAAAGTTACTATCCTATAGAAGTGGTGGTAGGTTTCTCACGTAGAACAATAAAATAACAGCATGCGTGGATCCTTTTGAAGGGGGACGCCCGGTGTATTTCAGAGAGCGTTGCTTGAGAGACCAGACTCATGGAAGCCACGACATCGGAAATCCACCTTCTCCTGATCAGTCCTCGGTGTAGAGGTAAGACCAAAAGATGGAGACAGCTGAAAAGTGAATCTCTTAATGTACAACGACAGCCTCTTCAAAAGAAACAGCCACTTAACACACAATTTAAGTTCAAACACAATTCCAACACAAGTCCATCATCGTTAATGGTAAAACATAAGTACCATTTTTTAGGGAATTATGAAATAAGTCCAGAATGTTGCTGTTTTCAAATCCTCCTCAACGCGAACACCCGTTTGTAAAAGCTTTTTTGGGGAAATATCCTGGAAGGTAAGGACTTTTCATTTGATGGCTGACAAAATTGTCAGCAGCTGATCTCGTTGATCTGTCTCAATGTCTATTTTCATGTGGCTTGCATCCAGCAGAGGGTGTTGTGGTACAAGTATCAGCTAACACATACTCTAGAAACCTCAGTAAAAGAAGCTAGTGTTTAATTTGCTATTATGCTACTTGAATAGAAGAATCTTAACAGCAGTAGCATCAAGTCAACAAGGAAATATTTGGATTTTAAGTAATAAATGGGACCACAACAAAAGAAAAAAATATGTTTTCTGACTTTATACAAACAGCAAGGAATGGTAGGAGTACCTTAAAGAAGAATTCTTTGAAAAAGTGGGGTGGAAGAGGAAACTCTAAGTATTTTCTTAAATCAATCTTTTTTATTGAATTTTCAATAATAAAAAAAAGAAAGTGTCTCTCGCCCATTGAATGCTGGGATAGGTTCCAGTCCCCCCGCGACCCTATTTGGGAATAAGCGTGTCAGAAAATGGATTGAAATAAGAAAGTTCTATACATTATGCATCATAGAAATCTGTCAACATGGGTACAATGAGTACTAGTGCTAGAACAGTCTGAAAACTGAAGTGACAGAAAAAAAAGCAAACGGAAGCAAATACGAAACTAACAACCAAACAAACCCAAAAAACCCTAAAACAGCAATGCTCAAATCCAACCAAAGACCCTGACAATAACAAAAGTAACATTAATAATATGTCTTCAAAGCAACAAAGGATGTACAAGTCTCTGAGACTGGATATCAAGGTCTTTTATCTTTTCTACCCTTGTCACAAGATAAGGTAGTGGTATATACGTAGGTGCCTGTAAGATCAATGGGGGTATGAAAAGTATCTGACAAAGGGATCCCAAACTTTTTTTAATGTCTCTCCTTGGTTCTTTAGATAGTACTAACAGGGCAAAAGGCCAAATAAAGGCCAGACTTGTCACATTGAGGGTTCAGGTCCCTGTGGGCCCTATGGACTACCCTAAACTGTTTCCACAGCAGAATGATGGGGGATTTTAAAAAGCCCCAGAATTAAATCACAAGTGTTATTGGAGAAGTGCTGGTTGGGGTCCTGTTCCCAGGATGCCCTGATTCCAGCTGTAGATATGCAAATGTCTTTTTTTAATCCTAAAGACCACGCTGAAAGCTTTAAATGGCCTACATATGCATATCTGGGGTGTCTTTTTGTGCCTATAACATCTTCAGCTAGCATTCTACTTATTTTTTTCCTGGGCCCAGTTTGAAGCTAAGGGGGATCTTTTCATTGATACTCCACTTTGTGGAATGCCAATTCTCTTTTTTGCAAATTCTTAAAATGTTTCTAAAAGCTTTTGCCAAACCCGGATCTGCAGTAATGTAACAAAAAAAGTTTTTAAAAAATATCCAAATTCCCTGCCAGCTTCTAAATGCAACCCCTAGTACAACAATAAATCATGACTTATTTTTGGTCTGTGTCATTATCTGTCTATAATTCAGAAGGAGCATCCAGGTGCGGCTGATCAAATCCGCTCGAATAGCTGATCGTGAGCAGGTGTCAGCACGTCTATACGGGAGGAAGTTTTTGGCAGTTGCTGGTCTGGAGTGTTGTGGGCTGTGTTCACCACGATGCAAAATAGGACAGCGATGGGCTGAAAGAATCCAATTTTTCTGAGCTCACTGTTCTGTACCGAGAAAGATTGTTGTGGTTAAAAAAAAACACAAGAATCTCTCAGACTCCACAGACTGTAGTTTGCATGTTCATGACAGGGTTAAGATATGGATTTGAATATATATCCTTTACTTGAAAAGAATGGCAGGAGATGTTTTCCCTTTTGTGACCTTTTGTCAACAAAGAGATTTTTGAATCTTCTTACATTATTGCTTTTGAAAAAAAGCAGTGGGCCCAGGACATGTTCCGCGGGGTTAGTCAAATCAATCAAACCCTCCTCTGCCCCATCAGTTTTTGTTCTCATTTAAGATGGCAGAAGTGCAAAAAAACAGCCCCGGCTTGGTGGAAACGGCCTGAACCCTGAAGCCGAAGCCGTACGTTTAAAATAAACTGCCGCGGTTAGAGTTATCGCCGGAACAAGCAAAACATGTCACCATTAGGCGAGCACCTGCCAGGCCGTGACGCTCTTTTATCTCTCCCTCTCAGGATATCCTCCGCCAAATCTGACGGAGGAGAACTAGGACGCAGGCCTACTGACAGCCAGTGTGTGTGTGTGTGTGTGTGTGTGAGAGAGAGGCAGAAAGCACAGCTGCCTGTGTGTGTGTGTCTGTGTCTGTCTGTGTGTTGAGCCATTTTTTTTGCACACTGTTGTGTAAATGTTCGATTCAGAGTGAAAGGGTCGCTGGTCTGAGCGTGACAGCCACTCTGCCAACACGTCATTTCAGAAGCGGCCGCCGACCGTCCAGAGACCCGGATCTGTGTTCAACAACACCGATAACGTGTTTGGAGTGACTCAAACAGAAAGCGCTCGGTTCTCGCCTTTTGTGAATTCAGATTTTTTTTTTTTTTTCCCCCACACCCTTTGTTTGTCTGGTAAACAGTGTGTGAAATGCTCTAGGACTTGTTCTTGCTTCTCACATCATGCAATTTAGACAAATGACCCGGGAGAGGTTGAGATGTACTCGTGTTTGAAATCCCGGTTGTAATGTCAGTGTGTTTATTTGAAGCGGTAATAAATTATTTCAGTGGAGCAAGCAGATTTTTGGGGATTTTTTTTCCATCTTTTTTAACACACCCTGCACACACAGAGCGAGGTGGCTCAAGAACTCAAGAGTAGAAGTTTAGTCGTTTCTCAAAAAAACGTGGTCTTGAACTTAAAAATAATCCACCATGGAAACAATGTTAAAGGGAAGCTATTTTCTTATTTTTATTTTTGTTCACAGTTCAAAGGACTTGAAACTTTTGGTTCCTTCCTCCAAAAAAAAAAAAAAACGTAACCAGAAAATAAAGAGAGGACAAATAAAAAAAAAAAAGCAAATGGACACAACGTAAAAGTTTAGAAGTATAAACCATTCATATGAGGTATTTGCCGGACTCACTGTGAGGTTTTTAACATCGTAGCTGTTTCAGTGGGAGAGACTCACTCTTATAAGAGTCTCTTTTGAGGGGCTTTTAGCCACAGAGGCCTCAGAGCGCTCTGATTGTTGTGACAACGCACTGCAACGGGTGTTCAGTGATTGTTGCGAATTGTGTTTGCAACTGCATGACGCTGCAGGGTGGCATGAGTCCCTCCTTTCCCGTCTTTAGTGTGCAAAATGGTTTAGAAATTAGGCTTTCACATGGTATGTAAAGAACATTTTGTGCATGTGGTGGCAAAAAGCCATTTTCAAAAAGGTCATTCTGAGAAGAAGTGCATGCTGTGGATGTACAGTCAGCACTTTTAGATGCGTCTTCTTTCATTTCCGGCACTTTGTGAGGACATTTTTGTTTGTAAATGACAGCGTGAGGACTGCTGCGGCCTGGCTCGTCCCAAAGATAATCTAATTGACATTTTGTGGAGGCGTTAGACTTTCTATCAACAACCGCAACCCTCATCAAGGCCGTCCAGCTTTATTCCCCTTAAAACCCACGTTTTAGACATTCGTCTTCCCGCTTCAGGCGCGCGTATTTACACTTTTACAGTTGTCGATCTTTCCCGGTTATTTACAAGTGCGATTTTTCTCCAAAGATAAAAAACGGGCGGGGTTCAGGTTTGCGCATACAAGTCCCTGTAGCTGCACTGCGTCTCTTGGTGGCGCTGCAGGTCCACCCGGCGCTGGAAGCTGTGCTGGCAGCGGGGGCAGCTGAACGGCCGGTAGCCGCCGTGCTTCCGGGTGTGGGTGATGAGGTTGGAGCTCTGGCTGAATCCCTTCCCACACACCTTGCACACGTGCGGCTTCTCACCTGAGCAGCGAAAAAAGGCTTTCAGGTCAAGAGGTCGAGTTTTTAACTCATTGGCTGCCAAAGACGTCCATAGACGTCAATTGAAATACAACCGTTCGCTGCCAAAGACGTCTATAGACGTCTTTTATGTTTTTCAACGCGAGTGGCTTGGGGGACGATCTGCTAAAGCTTGTCCGTAAACATCGGCTTCCAGACAGAGTATGTACTAACAAATTGACCCTCTAGGTAGCTGTGCCACTTTTGATGGGAGATGAGCATAGATTGTAGGCAAATAAAATAAAAAACGCAATGGTTCGCTGTGCGAGAAATGACGCCGGTGAGACGCACGTCGAGGAAGAACGGAATAAGGTAGAAACAAAATTTTTTTCCTGATGAAAGAAGAGAGTCCACTCTTTCTTTTGGTGTGTTCAGTGTTTACAAAGTCACAGCACAAACTATTCTGTGGCTCTCGAAAAATCTGTCAAAATGCTCAAAAAACTCTGGCAGTATGGGACTCTCTTTTATGAAAATGGCTGGCAGTCAATGAGTTAAAAGGCTGCGTCCGCCGCCCGGCCCACTCACCCGTGTGGATGAAGGTGTGCTTCTTCATGTCGGACTTCTGGTGGAACCTTTTGCCGCAGTACTGGCAGGGGTAGGGGCGCGTGTCCGAGTGGATGAGGAGGTGCGTGGACAGGGTGGACGAGCGCTTGAACACCTTGCCGCACACCTTGCAGCCGAAGCTGCGCTCCTGGAAAACACACGGGACCCGACTTTTACAACCAGGGTTTCCTCCTAACGGCGCCCGGGAATACGATCGGGAGAAGGTCTTTTTTACCTTAGCCCGACAAAAGCTGCCGACCGATCTGGGGCCAAAGGGCACGGTGGACACGTCCGCGGCCGTTAACGAGCTTGCGAACGGTGGAGAGAAGGTGCGGGAGATGTGATCATGCAAACTGCCTCCCGACATCAGGACTTCCGACGCAGACTGAATTCAGACAGGGAATATCATCCGGATGAGTCGGAATCATGCTGAGAGTCCAGCATTAAGACATGATGAATAAATAATTGATACTCTGCAGCTTTAACAGGTTACACCGGTCAGCTTGTGCCGAAATCTGGTCCATTTTTAAAAACTAATTTAGTTCTCAAGTCTGTCAATAGTGTAAATGTAAACTATGATTTAAATTGTAACTGTAAGATTTTTTTTTTAATCCCTGGTTTAATATTTTTCCATTGTCCTGCTAAAAGCACCAAAGGCACCATTTCAACATTTTCTCATAAACTCCTCTGGGTTCTTTAACATCTAGTTCAGCTTTGCTTTTCAGTGCAAATAAGAACATTTCAGCAAAATCCACCACATCAAGTAAATACCAGATTAAAACACTGTTCAAATCGAATGGCAGATACTTGCTAAAATCAAAGCCATGCAGACTTTGGGCTTAAATCCCCTCCTTTCAAGTCTCGATGGAGTCGCATGATAACATCCTTTTGTTCAGCGAACACTGAGAGGTTTTTGAGACTCCTCTTACCTTCTCGCAGAGTGGACACTCTTTGACGGGGGACTTGAGGTCAGTGTGCAACGTGTGGTTGAGCAACATGAAGACCAGTCTCTCCAGTTCCTGCTCCCTTTCAGACCCCCGCCTGTCTGTGGACCACGGGGACGTGAACGCTGAGGAGCCTCCTTTCCCCGGGGGAGCTTTTGAAAAGACGACAATGGGCTGAATCTCATCTGAACCATCTCTTTCTGGGATTTTTAACGGCTTTGCTCGAGTCTGGTTTTAATCTTTAAATCTACAACACAAAAAGAACCCCCGAATAATAGGTTGGACTCAATGATTAGTCCCAAATCTTTCCAAGGGTTCAAACTAAACGGGACACTGTTTTTATGGTTCCATACCTGAAGGCCAGAGCTCATCACTGCCAGGGCGATCTTCCGTTCCTGCTCTCAGTGCGTGGGCATCGGTCAAAAGATCCCCGACACCGGGCACTGGGGACAAAGGCTGCACGGCTCCATCCGGGTGTCGGCCGATTTGCCCCATCTCGGGCTTATCGGAACATCTCTGGGGCCCGAAATTCGGTCTGAAGGAGTCCCTAGTAGGGCTGAGAAGGTGAGGTCTCTTGGTCTTGACCAGGAAGGAGCGCGGCATGGCGGGGAAGGTGCCCGAGGGAGCTGATGGGAGGCGAGAAACGCTGCTCGTAAATCTGCAGGAGTCTGAGGACTCTTAGAGCCTGGCGCGCCTCAGATGTCGCACACCTGTTGGGGCGTCTTCAGTTACAATGCCAAGGCTTGAGGTTTCCCTTCAAACCAATCCAGCCCGCCACCTGCACGTGAGTTTCGAGGGCTTTCTGTGAGGATAACCCTCCTGTGGCGGCAGAAAGCATCTAAACTGACTCTAGCAGAGCTTTTTGGGGCTTGTATTCTAGGTTCACACATCAAAATCAGATATTTGCAATAACAATGGAGAAAAGAAATTACAAAAATGAAGGATCGACACGTTGATATGCAACACAAATGTGAGGTTGCTTTACTTGCTAGGCTCAATACTTGCAGAATATTTGCCAAGTAATTTGTCGACAGGTCATGGGTCGAGCAGAAAAGATGAAAGCTTGAGAGAAAACCGGTGAATGCAACAGCTCAGAGCGACAGCCCACATCTGCAGACTAGTTTTCTCTTAGCTTTAAAGTTCTTACAAAGACTTCGTCTGAGTCATACTAACAGATAATCGTGATGTAAATACTCAGTATAGGTTTGTGTGGAGAATAGAAATGCATCAAGTGCATAAGTTTCAATGGAAAATGGAAAAAAAAGGAGACTTCAGAGAATTTGGAGCTCTTACCTCTGTGTCATGTGGCTGAAAATGTCGTGTGCCTCTTGATTCCTCATTGCTGGTAACATCCTCATTTCTCTTTCTCACACCCATCGACCGATGACATGACACAGAAAGATTTGATCTGATTCTGATCCGCTGCTGAGGATTGTTTCCCTTAGGAACTTCCCGAAAAGTTCAGAGGTTGGACAAATTCAATCATATTACTGTACAGTATATTATCTGTACAACTCATAAGAAATCAGCTTTTTTGAACCCTTATAGTGTCAAGCAGAGTTTACGGGAAAAAAAAAGAAAAAAGTAATCTACAAAAGAAGAATAGAGGTGTCACCACACCAACATGAAGACAAAAAGTTGTTTAATGTCGGACTGTGGATTCATACCACAGTGACTCTTTATGTGGGTGGGTTTGTGAACACGGTGAGCATTATTTGGAAAGTCTGAGGCTGTCATTTCTCTCATGTGAACGTATGAACCTTTACTTTCAAATTGGATTAGAATAAAGTTTGTTGAATATAATATTTAGTGGAAATACCCCTCTATCTTTACTATTTATTCACTACATCCCCACCCCTCCCATGACTCAGCTTTCTGGTTAAGTCGGTGCGGTTTCAATTCAATATGGGATTGTTCAGATGATGTAATCTAAATGTGAAGGGACCTTTCCGTAAAGTACTAGGATTTGAAAGCATTTACAGATTTTTTTTTTATCATTTAAAAAGTAAATTCGCACAGACTCGTCTTTCTGATTTTTTGGGGGATCATTCCTTGAGAATGAAAATGGACACTCCCTGTACAGGACTTTATTCCACGTCCAGCCATGTTTCAGTCTTTACATTTTTACATACTACACAGGTTTTTTTTGCTGTATTTACACTAGTAAGCAACATAGGGTTAGATTTCTTGACCAAGGACAGTTTTGGGGGTTTTCCACTTGTACTTACTCAGTTCGACTCAACTTAGCTTGTATTTTTTTGGGGGGGGTTTTCGCAATTCCTTAAGTGGCTGGCCCTCCTAATAGTTACAGTTTTAGCACCGGCTCAGCCGGAGCTACAAGTGGGCTGAATTGGGCCGATGGACGACTGCAAGCTGCTGATTGGCCAGGGATCCACATGACTCGATAAACTTCTCCATCACATGAACCCCAACTTTATTTTAAAATGCAGTAATAACAATAATTTTTGTAATCATCAGCGTTGTAAATGACCTAATGCCTGACCCAACACTGACCTCATTTGTAATGGGGAACCACCTGTAAGTATTAATGGAAAACCTGTAGGTTAAAAAAAAAAAAACTACACACTTTGGACAGATTATTTTAATTTGACTACCATTACCATTTTGGAACTTTTTTTTTTTTTTTAAGCTTGGCGCTATTTTTCCTTGTTATGTTGATCATTTTAAGCTATCCTTATGGAACTAATCAGTTGGTGAAATCATAATGTCTTGGAGACATAAAGGCCTGTATATCTTGAATTTTCATCCTCTTAATTCAGAAAAAAGTGAAGTTGTGTTCTTTGGCCCTTACGGAAAATTGTCCATATATATTATGTACTAGATTGCATTTCATTTAAATCGAAGCAGCAGACTCAGCTTTATTTCTAACAGGGAAACCATGATAGTTTACAATGTAGACTACAAACTTCAAACTTTGTACAAGTCAAACTATGGCCACCTCATTCATGCCTTAGCAACCCAATACCAGCCGCCCCCGTTGAGAAAAAACGTGAACATGGAGAATAGGGAACTGGGAAATAAAAACAGCAAAAAATAGATAAAGATTTGACCAAATTAGATAAACCACAAAGATTAAAAACAGGACAGTGATTATTGAGTGGAAGTACTGTATCGGAGAACAATATTAAGATATTATAGCCAAAGACCACAACAGGAGGGGAACTGACCAAAAGAAAAATAAGCTATGTAATAAAAACCAGAGATGAACTAAGAAAGACACAAAAAAACTCTAAAGACAAAGGCACAAAACAAACCATAGATAATGATATAACCAAAACAGGGAAAGCCTAAACTGGGAAAACAAAAGACAACTCAAAGTCCACAAAAACTCCAGAATCCATTACAGTTTATAGATGAGTCGGGTTACGCAGAAACTTCCGATAGACATTATTCTTGTAATTAATTTGTCTTTCGCTTTCTGTATCAGTGAGTTGGTGTTTTTAATCCCTCTTTCATGTCTTTGAGTTTGGTTGTACCAAAGCTTTCTTCTTCATTTTTCTTTCCACTGATACCTTGTGCATGCTCAGGGTGGAGATAAATTAAGTTTCCTTTAATCTGTTGGTTTTCTTAGCAAGGAAACCTTTTCCACTATGGCCTGCCTTAAGATGGTTTCTTTACCCATCTACATCCAAAATAATTGTGATCAGCTGTCTCCCTGTTCTCTGACGACCATACGATTAAGGATTTAAATCAACTTTATGTCACCATCTGGTTTTATTTCATCATCAAACCTTTTTTCCTATACTCAGCAACCAAGTGAAAGAAGAATGGTTCAGGCAGTTAGCAATTGATGTTAATAGAACTGGTGTCCAAAGAAAAAGCATAAAAAATCAAGTCTAAAACAGTCTAAAACAAAAGACATTTAACTGAAATTTAACCAAAAGATTTATTGACACGATGACTAATAAAGCACACATTACTTGTTAAAATGTAAATAAACAATTTAAAAAGTACCCAATCTAATCAAGTATTAGAAACGTATCTATTGGACAATAACAAGAGGTTTACCCAAATCTGCCCTGAGATTAAAAGAAATCTTATTCCAGAGAGAGATGTGAACTGAGGCGAACACTTTTCTTAAAAAGGCTTTACTCTGCAGGCTCTCTTTCATTCCTGGCATGTGAAGTGTAAAGTGCAGCTCCGCTCTCCTTGATGTTGGAGGAGACGGGCTTACGTGAGCCCTGTGGTCGCTGTGGCGGGGGGCTTGGAAACGTCTCCCAGGGGCTGCTGGAAAGAGCAGACGGGTGGAGTGCAGGGAAGCGAGACGGGCTGGTGGGTTCGGTGGGTTTACACCTCATTTGTTTTCGGGGTGCTCAGGGGCTGCTCGTTCCCCCGATGGTGACTGAAAACTGCCTTTCTAGGAACCTGAAACCTGAGGTGACGACAGGAAAAAGAGGCGTTGACTGTAATATAAAGTTCATCTCACTTTAGCTAGTGCAATGTTTTTTAAATTGTACTATTATATAATAAACACATGGTGTTGGATGGGAGTAGAAACAGCTTGACAAGGTGTTAAAAATTTAATTGTAAACAGTTTGCCTTCATAATTAGTTAACTTGAAATAACTCAAATACTTATTGATCTTATCAAAGTCAGTTGTTGGAATGCTTCCAACTCAGTGGAAGCTAAAGAAGAAATGACAGAAAAGGAGAATAGTGTGTTCAACCATTTTCTAAGCAGTGGAATGTAAAGAAAAATGCATCACACACATCCACGCACACTCGCATCACAACCGGGAGCATCATTTGTCATAAGCAAAGGGAAAAAACACAGCAGACTTCCGTCAACTGCAGTAAAACTGGAGTGTGCGCACGCAAACATTTCCCAACATCCTCCACGTTGATTTGCGACAATAGTACTACAAGCTAGTGATGACGTGTAAACCAGACACAACGGGAAAATGACACGTTTTAAAACAGGAATGGGAACGTTTCCATGGACCAGTGGAACCAGTTACTTTATGGATCCCTTTAGTCCTATTAAGCATTGTGAAATGTTATCAGCTAACTCTATGAAAACCCCACAACATTTAGTTGTTCGTTTGATTATTTGGAAGTTTGCTTCTTAATCCTATCACTTTTAGCTGCCAATTTAATTGATTAAAAGTCCTAACAGCCTTTAACAGTCGGAAAAAAGTTGCATTGGTCAGAGCACATATTTGGCAGTTGGCAGTTTAATGGGACTGGCTAAAACTAAATTGTATGGAAATGGGAAAGTGGCTTATGAGAATGCAAATCTTTGTTTTATTTCATTTTAACTTCCAGTGATGATTTGTCACCCAACATCTTCATGGATTCTCTGGAAAATTGGCCAATGAAACCATATGTTGGTCAATATTCTGACACGCAATGTAAAGTCACCGTCGCTGAGCTGATTTTGAATTCTGCTTTCCGTTTGCTCCTCCCCACTGCACATAGCAACAGATACAGGCAACACTCATAATAACACGATAAAACCTCCCTCTGCTATCTCAGTGAGGTGTAAAGGAAACACAGTCAGATCCAAGATCCGAACTGTACCAGCTTTCTACTCCGAACCCATACTGGCCAGTGATTTCTCAAATCTACACTTCCTGTCAGTTTTGTGGACCATTTTGTCCGAGCTACTTCTTTTCATTGTTTTTCAACCCTCAAAGTAGCTTAAGGACCTAAAGCAGTTAGCTATTTGTCGCAAAGGGGAATAATAGAGTTGACTTAAATTGATTAAAGGTGCTTTGAAATAAAGACTTTGTCTCGTTGTGCATTCCACCACTCAATAAAGCCATAATCAATCAAGAGAAAGGGGACAAAATTATACAGATAATCTGATAACACTGGTAAAAATTACGGTTGAAAAATGAAAACTTCACAAACTTACAGAATTAGAATGTTTTAAGTTTGTGGAATTTTAGATAGATCCTAATGAATTCCACTCAAACAGCATATTCATCTCCGGTTAGTGTCTGTACAAGAGCGTTAAATGACGTCACTACGTAAAATTCATCATCAATTCATCGTCAGTGACCCCCCCCGGCCACAAATGCCTCCCTTTATCTGGCTGCGTCAGAATCCTAACGCCATCTCTGATCTGTCTCCTGGCTGTGGCTGCTGGTTTACAGTGGTTTCAGTCATGAGACTTTGACAAACGAAGCGCTGTGCCACTTTCTCACGGCCAACAGCCTCTTTCTTTACGTGCCCAGTTTACCCCCACCCACCCATTTTACACTCATCTCCTCACAACTATTCAACTTCCTCTCACTTTGGTTGCTAAAAGAGCAAAGTTCGCTGTGAGGGCACGACTTTCTATTCCCTTTATGGTATTAAAAGTAAGTCCAAAAAGTTAATAAACTTGATGTGATGTATAGGTTGGTAATGTGTAGACTGAATGAATATCTTGGGTATGCCATAATAGGTAATAAATGTAAAGAATGGATGGCAAAAGGTAGAAATTGCTTTACTGAGTGAGACGTTGTAGTACAAAGGCTATTTCTGCAGCGGCCATGGGAACGATGGACTGGGTATCTACTCATAAGATTATGATAGATTACAGTTGTGTGCAAGAGCAAAGCCACAAGGCTCTAAAGTAGGCCTGTGCCACCCACTGAACAGGAAGCAAATATTCTGCTGAGGTATTTTTCTTTCGATTCGCCGATTATCACATCCTCCCACTCTTTTCAATCAATTTCTGTCTGATTGAAAACATCCCTGATTCAGATTAAAAGCGAGATGATTGTTTTTCCCATCGATAAATAGCTGGAGCAAAGACTTGCGGACGAAGTGCTACAGTTAAATAACTATCACCGAGCCCGAGAAAAGAGGTCTGTGGTGGGTACAATGACTGCGACTCGATGGCTTGCGTTTCCAGCCAGCGAATGGGCATTCCCACTCCCACGCGTGCTGCCGTCTGAGATTTGAATCACTTTGCCAACGCAGGGTTACAGAAAGGTGAGAGGGTGTGAGAACCCTGAAA